GAGATGGGAGATCACATCCCCTGGGACAAGCCTGACTATGTTTTAGAGATAACCAAGTCTCCAGGAGCAGAGAAAACAGGAAAGACAACCTGCTGTCCCATAACTGCCCTGCTAATTATTCCATTGCATGGCTGCTTCTGTTTCAACTGAAAAAAGTAACTATTTTTTTTTTTTTTCCTTTAGAGCTGTCTAGCCTCTTGTCCTGGGTGCAGGCATCTCCCTTGTCTTTTTGGGTGCATCATCATGCCACTCCCTTCTCTCTTCTTCCGTTTATTTCTGTTTTCTCTCTCCTAGTCTCTCACTCTCCCTAACCCTCTCTTTCTAAAAGATAAAATGTATTTTATACTTTTATATCCTAATCTTTGTCTGGAGAAATCTTTCTCAAGACCAGTGTACACTACCCTTCCACTCTAAAATAGGTTATTATTTCTTGTGTACCTTCTCATGGCATAATGTACTTTTTATTTTAGGATATACTACAGCTTTTATAAGGTGATAGTTATATATATAGCTTTTAAATCTTTGTCCCTTCCATTAGGTCAATGAGGACCAGGTTAGTGTCTCCTGGTTTATCGTTGTGTTCTTATCACCTGCAAAGTTTCTAACACATAATAGGCAGTCAATAAATATGTGCTGAATAAAGGATTGAAACAAATTAGTTTTAATTAACAAATGAAATAACTTTTTTGCATGGTATGTAGTTGCCTGAATTTGTAATTCAACCTAATCAAAAGGAAAACTCTGAATCGTCATAGAGAAAGACTTATTTTCGCCAGAGTAAGGTTAAAGTTGTGACCCAACTTATTCCTCTGACCTTGTCTTTGTGCATTTCCAAGTAATTATTTTTTTTTTCACAGATGTGGAAACTGATTTCCAGAACAGTTAAGAAATTTTATTACAGCAGAAAGGAAGGGATAAGGGTAAAAAGGATTAAATTTCAGATTTTTGACCATTAGACTTTGAAACTAGCCTTTCTAATTAATCTAATACCCAAGGTGGATATCTATGGTTTTTAGACCTGCATGTAATGTGTGTTAGAGATTTCCCCACACAGATAGTTAGTCTCTACTATAAATAATAGGCTCAAAGCAAAGTTAAGGATGTTTCATCACTAAGGAAAGATAGAATTGCCAAGCAAGACTGGCCACTGAGGAAAGCACTGGAAAAGGCAGACCTCTTCATACCTGGGGAGATGGCAGCCTCAGTGAGAAATGTCGCCAGGGTTGTGTTATATAAGGTTAGAAGGGAATTCATTTCAATTCGACAGGCATTTATTGATCACCCACTATGAAGTAATCTTGGCCAAGGATTCCGAAGATACAGGAGTCCCTTCACAATAAGTTTTAGGAGTTCTAGACTGAGTCTGTGAAAATGTATGTCTAACTCCTACAGAGTTTTTTTAAGAAGTTGCTTATCAAACTACATAAAGACTGTGCTGAGACACAGCTATGCTACTGCTGAGCCCAGAACATTATAACCCAAAGGATGGTGTCTTGGCCTGCTGAGTTTTTTAAACTAAAGGACACTGGAAGGGCCTCACAAGAAAGAAGTTCTCTCTGACCTTCTCCTACTCTCTTTTCACCATCTCCCATTTCTCCTCCAAAGCAGGTGATAGAAACCAGAACTCCTCCCCCTCAAATCAAGCCATAAAACCCAGAGAGGTCATTAAATCGTCTTCCTCCCCCGAACCCTTATTCCAGAAGGGTTCTCCCTCATAACCATGGAGGGATTTTGCTGTGCTTCACAGAGAGGCCAAGAAGAACCTGAACAAACAGGTCTTGCCAAGTTCCTATCAGTACATTCCCTTTTGTTCAGACCCTTTTTGTCTAATCACAGTTCCACACAGTTGTCCATTCTGCATGGAAGCCAAGCATAAAGAGACATTTTTTCCTAGGTCTTTGTTTCTTCATTTGTGAAGTCTCCCGTGTCATGTAAAACTCAAATTAAATATATTTGTTATGCCTTTCTTTTGTTAATCTGTCTTTTATTATATGGGTGTTGGCCACAGACCTTGGAATGGATGAGAGAGATATATTACACTTTTTCACGCTTATACCACCTCCAGATTCTAAGATTCCTAAGCCACTATTCATATAAATGAAGTATAATTTCCTAAGATGGGAAAGTGTTAATTTGGTTTAATCCTTGCTCATATCCTAGGCTAACTTAGGGCCTTGGGATTTGAGGGCCATTAGTTCCCCTGGCTCAGAAGCTATCTGTTCTATCTTGTCTCTATTCTCTGGAGAACACAAGAGAGGTACATTTGCAGTCCACTCCTCCAGGCACTGTTTATTCTTCCACACTGTGAGCATGATCTTATGTCTGACCCTTTTGCCCCTGTGTCTCTCCTTCCTGGTCCTTGGACTGCTTCTCCTGTTCCTTGGTCTGTATATTGCCTGTTGTGTTTCTGCACTTTCTGGTCCTTACCCTGCCTTTGCAACAATGGTTCCAGTACTGGGACCTTCAAGTCGATAGAAAGCAGTGTAGAACTATTAGGAAGTAAAAGTGGGTTGGGGGATAGAGTTGATAAGAAATAATAGATTTGGTAAAGAGGAGAGAAGTTGGGAAAAGTGTGGTTTCTAGGAAACAGGAAAGGTCAAGATTAGGACTTTAATTATAGTACTAGTGCTTACATTTATGGTAAGAGAATGGCATAAAACAGGAGTGTCTCCTCATAAATTAGGAGCTTAATTCTGAGTGTTTCCCACTACTCTCCCCAGAATGTTTCTAGGTTTTTCTGGATGTCAAACTGATAACCATAAGAATGTAAGAAAAATTAAAGACAGTAAATAATCATGGTCAACTTAGGACAGGCCATACCAGATTGTGGCCAGCCATCTCGAGAGTAGAGTCTCATACACCACCACAGAGACTTTTAGGTTGTCTTACGGGTGCAAGTATAGGTTTGTATTTATGGGTACATTTGAAAGGTAGTGTCCTGTTGCTCTTTTGGGATGATGAAGGCAAGCATTAGGATATGTTTGTCTCCTACCTACCACAGAAGGGGACATATACATTATAGATTAGAATATTTGCTTTCTTGAATGGGTCTTGCTAGAGTTTTCTGTGACTCATGGATCAACCATGGACACTCATACTATAATTTTAAAGGGCAGAGGGAACATCTTCACGTAGATACACTCAACATTAAAAAAGGACAAGCCGTAAATTACTATACTACTATGCTTCTTGATTTAGATATTACTAAAAGACCTGTCCTGTGTTTAGCTTGGTGATGAGGATACTGAGCTTGTAGAGATATAAGGTGAGTGACTGCAATATTCCTAGCTTTAGGAGAAAAGGAAAAAATGTTTAACAATCAATTAGAGATCAATAAAGGAGATAGAAATAAAACATCTACTAAAGACTCAATCTTGTTCAGGATTTTAAAGACAAAGGAACTGTGATCAAAGACAGAGAAGTTATTAATAGATTAAAAGGAATACATAATTCACAATACCTGGGAAGCCCCAATAAGGAATGGAAGTGTAAAGCCACCGAACTTTTTATTGTATTTAGAACATTGAAGTTGGGTGGGAATGTGCTAACCAATTTCCCACATATATCTGTGTCCTTCTTTCAGAACATCTTTCAGTGGTGCTTCATGGCTATGGATTCTTTTGGTGGGAGCATTCACCTAGTTCAGGAATATTTAAATATGGGGAGCAAGTTTTCACTTCCAGATCCTCTGTTTCTCAGAGCTGAAGTATAGGAGCCTGCTTCCTGCTATTATAGGCTGCCAGGGTGCAAGATTGATGGAGAGGTATGTGAATGACAGGGCAGTGAACATGAGTAAAATGCATTCATCATAATATTGGTCATCACTGAATGGTCAGCTAAATTACTGTGGAGTCCTAAGTGCTTTCCTTCACTCATTTACTCCATAAATATTTATTGAACACTGCACCAGATTCTGTTCTAGGGATAGAATAGTGAAATAACAAGACATGATTGTTGTCCTTTTTAAAGTTTACAGGTTATTAAATAAGTAAAACAAAACTAAAATAGGGCGGGGAGCCCTATGATTGAATAATGCAGAGTGTCACGAGAGTACAGTACCTGGGAACATCATATAATTCAGATATTGGTCAGGAAATATCACTGAGGCTAGTATTAATAGATGAGTGAGAGTTACTCAGGAGAAGAGAAAAAATGGACTAAGCTAAAAACATATTCAAGACCAAACATGGGTGGAGGAACATTTCAGACAATAGTGTTCCAAAGAGTTAAAAGTTAAATTAGGGGTGACGTAGTTGGTGGGCTAAAATGATCTCACTTTTGGCATGAGAGAAGGCAATGTGAGCTCTTCTACTTTGATGCTCTCGTCCAAGTTCTACTGTTAGTGAATGTAATAGTTGTTTTCTGGACAAACAAAATGATTGAATGTTTCTAAAGTGTCATCTAAGAATCACATGCCTACAATCTTGTCAATAATGCCACAAAGCTTGTTAAGTAAAGAACTATGATTTGTATGCCTGTTTTTGAGTTGTTGAGGTATGTTTTCCAGTTATGATGTCAGCAAGAGACTTAAGAACATGAATACTATTCACATACCCAAGTAATGTCCATTTGCTTACCATGGCATATAGTAAACAAATGGGCATATTTTGAATAACCGTTAGAATTATTGCCTATAATCAGGAGACAAAGTAGAAGCCAAGAAAAAACAACTAAAACAAGCAAAAAAACTTGTTTTAAATTTTACGGAGATGGAAGAGTGTGCTGATGTTTAGCACATTTCACTATTCTTTCCATAGCCTGTCTATCAATTGACAAACCCCACCGATTTTGTCAAGTATATCTCAGAAATCAATTTGTTAATCTCTTCTGTTACATTAATTGAGGCTGCCATTATCTACCTCACTACAGCAATCGTTATACTGTATTGCTGATTTACTTAGCAGCATGTTCTCATTCCATCTGGATATGTATTAGAACTTAAAAAAAGTATCATTTGAAGGAATGAATGCCTCCATTTAGGTTTTTACAAAATAGTTATAATGGCCTTTAAAGTAAAAGCCTTTAAAATGTTTGGGATTCCTCTATGCTCAGACATCAATTGAATCCCACATACATTATCTGCTGTTTGAAAACAAAATCATATAATTGATTGTCTTATATAGGCACCATTTGGAGGGAAGTAGTCTCTAACATCCTCTTTATTTTATGTGAATTGGTCTATGTAGTTTTTCTGAAATATTCATGAAGCATATTTATTATTATTTTCCTGAACATTACTAATTTTATTGCAATTGTTATAATATTAGGATTGATTTATAAAGTAGTATTATTGTTAAAAATATATTTTCTTTATTGTTAGAAAGTTTATTTTGTCCTTTGACCTTAATTTCCATAATCATGTTTATATAATTTACATATGACTTTAGAAATGCAATTCTGCTGATTATATTGGCCACAATTTTTCCTTTTTAAAATAATTGACTTTTAATTTTGTGACATGTGGTACCTTATATTAATTATATCTTATTTAATCAATAATGTGATTAAGCTTGAAATTTTGCCTCTTATGCAGCTTCTATTACTTATTGAAGTTTTGTCATTTAGTGTAGGCCCCCATACTATTTTCTCTCCCATATTTGCAGCTTTATTTTTCTACCTTAGTATTTATTGCTTATTTGTCTACCTAAATGTATTTCTTAAGAATCTAATCCTCATATAGATTTCAGATACTCTTTTTAATGCAATTTGAAGATTTTCTTGTAATTTAATTTATATGTATCTCTTTGATTCATGAGGAATTTCAGGATACATTATAACTGATCTCACAGAAATACAAAGTATCATTACAGATTACTATGAACTATTATAGGCCAACAAAATTTATACAAATTGCTTGTATCCACTGCCAATTTTTCTACTTGATCAAAGAAATTTTGTCTTAGTTATCTATAAGAACAGTTTAAGTAAATATTAATGGAATTATACATTTTTCATTTGGACTAGTCATTAACTATGCTACTTTTGTCATGGAGTTTGTTGTTCTCTATTTAAATATTTTCTCTCTGTAATAGTTTGTCCTTCTAATTTCTGTTTGGACATTCTTTCTTCCTATAGATAGTATCTAGATGCAAAAGTGGTGAGGGATGTGGGATGTGGGGAAAGTAGTTTACACACAATTTTTTGATACTGAATAAAGACTCTTGTACCCTGTATTCAGAACCCCAGTTGAGGCTTCTCTATGTATCAATCTCTTTTCTAACTGAATCTATTGGTAATGAAATGGACCTTACCTATTTGAGCACAGATGAGGTCCATTACTGCTGACCACCAGCTTTACCATTTTGTTTTATATGGAAGTGATAGGCTTTTCACTTTCTTTTTCTCTCTACCTGGGATAGCTCCTATATCATACCTTTTCTTCTCCAGGAATAATAATCCTCTACTTACAGGGTGAGGCTTAAGGCCAAGTAAATCACAAGAAGTTCATCAAGAGATATTTCCAAAATATTCTTTTCATTTTCTGTATATAATTTCTGGCACTTTCCCCAACTTTTAATTGTTTAAAGGTAAATAAATGCATTTGAGTTAGGAAATCTATGCAGAGTCTTGGTGAGATTTAATAGTATTTAGGATAGGGTTCATTGTAGGAGTGACAATAAGTGGATATAACATGAGATACTTAGAGATTGAATATTTGTAATATGATAATTACCTAGAAGATGAGGATGATGATTGTGTGGGAGGGAGATAGGATTAAGATAGCTTCAAGTTTTATTGATTGAGATACTGATTATGATGCACTGCCATTTTTTAAGTTGGAAATTTTGCAGAAGAAACAGGTTTGGGGCAAGAGAAAGACAAATGGGATAGTTTGGAACATGTCAAGTTTGATGCCCCTGTAGGATTTCTAAGTGAAGACCAGAGGCATAGGATAACTAATTCTAAAACTGAGCAAAGAGTTATATCTTAAAAATCATAAAAATTAAGGATCTTCAACATAACAGTTCCAATTAAAACCATGGTATTTGTGGATATCACACAGATCGAGTGTGTCCACCAAGAAAGCCTCAAGCATGGGTACATGTATAGATTTCCAACAATCAATGGGTAAGTTAAAAAAAAATGTGACTACTGAAGTTGAATAAAAACAGTTGTCTATCATGTCATGAAATACAAGAGTTTGAGAAGAAGGATTCCACTGTTTCAGTGAAGTCTCACAAGAATGAGTCATCCAAAGGATTACACAGGGGATAAAAATGTCATTGTGTAATGTTGCAGGAGACTGGGCTTCCTTTCTTGGGTTTGCCCTTTATGAGGGTTGGAGGAGGGGTCTATCTTCTTTTCATGAGACAACTCTGACATAGTAAGTTTTTTTTTTTTTATTTCAGTATCTTACAAGAGTACAAATGTTTAGGTTACATATATTGCCTTTGCCCAATCCAAGGCAGAGGTTCAAGCATGTCCATCCCCTAGTTGGTGCACACTGTACCCATAAGCTGTGAATATACTCATCCCCTCCTCTCACCTCCCACCTGACTTTCATGCAAAGAATATTACTACTATATGTGCACATAAATATTAATCAGTTAATACCAATTTGATGGTGAATAGAGGTGGTGCTTGATTTTTCCATTCTTGGGATACTTCACTTAGTAGAATCATCTCCAGCTCTATCCAGGATGATACAAGAGGTACTAGATCACCATTGCTTTTTGTGGCTGAGTAGAACTCCATGGTATACATATACAACATTTTATTAATCCATTGAGGTCTTGATGAGCACTTGGATTGTTTCCATGTCTTTGCAATTATGAATTGTGCTGCTATAAACATTCTAGTGCAGATGTCTTTTTTATACAATATCTTTTGTTCCTTTGTTTATATGCTCAGTAATGGGATTACTGGATCAAATGGCAGTTCTACTTGCAGCTCTCTGTGGTATCTCCATATTACTTTCAATAGAGATTGTACTAGTTTGCAGTCCCACCAGCAGTGTATGAATGTTTCTATCTCTCTACAAACACACCAAATTTATTGTTTTGGGCCTTTTTGATAAATGACATTCTCAATGGAGATAAGTGATATCTAATTGTGGTTTTGATTTTCATTTCCCTGATGATTAGGGATGTTGAGCATTTTTTCATATGGTTCTTGGCCATTAGTCTATCTTCTTCTGTTCATGTCCCACTTTTTGATAGTGTTGTTTGACTTTTTCTTCCTGATTTACCTGAGTTCTATATAGATTCTAGTTATTAGCCCTTTATCAGATGTTTAGCATGTGGATATTTTCTCACTTTCTGTAGGTTATCTGTTTGCTCTCATGATAGTTTCCTTGGCTGTGCAGAAGCTTTTTAATTTGATCAGGTCCTATTTATTTGTCTTTGTATTGCTATACCTTTGGAGTCTTCTTCATAAATTCATTGCCTAAGCCAATGTCTATAAGAGATTTTTCCAACATTTTCTTCTAGAAATCCTATAGCATCATACCTTAGGTTTAAGTTTGTTATCCACCGTGAGTTGATTTTTGCTAGAGGGATCCTGTTTCAGTCTTTTATATATGGCTATCCAGTTTTCCCAGCACCATTTATTGAATAAGGATTCTTTCCCCCAGTGTATGTTTTTGTCTGCTTTGTCAAAGATTAGATGGCTATATGAGGATGGTTTTATCTCTGGGTTCTCAGTTCTATTCCATTGGTCTATGTCTCTGTTTTGTGTCATTACCATGCTGTTTTAGTTACTATAACCTTGTAGTATAGCTTGAAGTCTGGTAAATTGATGCCTCCCAATTTGTTCTTTTTGCTTAAGATTTCTTTTGCTATTTAGGGTATTCTTTGGTTACATATGAAGTGTAGAAATTATTTTTTCCATGGCTGTGAAAAATGACATTGGTATTTTAACCCTTTGCACTTGCTTGCTTTTTTCTTGATTCCTTTATTCTACTCGGGATTTAATTTTTTAAATACCCCAGATTTTACAAAGCACGGCAGTAAAATAAAAAACTGGAATTTCTTTTCATACAAACTTATTTATTTGGATTTTTTATATTTCAAATTATTGATACATTCAAAGAGTAATTTTAATCTCTATAATTTTTGCTAACCATGTCGAGCCAAACTCGACATTTGAGTGCAAAGGGTTAATAGGGATTGCATTGAATCTGTAGATCACTTTGGGTAGTATAGACGTTTTAACACTGTTGATTCTGCCAACCCATAAACATGGTATGGCTTTTCACCTGTTTACATCCTCTGCTATTTCCTTCCTCAGTGTTTTGTAGTTCTCCCTGCAGAGTTTTTCTTTACATTCTTAATTAAATATATTGCTAGGTAGTTTATTTTCTTCATTGATATTATGAAAGGTATTGAATCTTTGATTTGGTTCTCAGTCTGACTGTTGGCATATAGGAATACTACTGATTTGCGTACATTGATTTTGTAGCCTGAGACTTTGCTGAATTTATTTATCAATTACAGTCGTCTCATGACAGAATCATTGGGATTTTCTAGATATAAGATCATATTGTCAGCAAAGAGCGACAGTTTGACCTCTTATGCCCCCATGTGGATGCCCTTGATTTCCTTCTCTTGTCTGATTGCTGTGGCTAGGACTTCCAGCACTAAGTTGAGTAGAAGCAGCAATAGAGGGCAACTTTGTCTGGTTCTAGTTCTAAGTAGGAATGCTTTCAATTTTTCCTCATTCAGTATGATATTGGCTGTGGGATTGTCATATATGGCTTTATCATTGTTAAGTAAGCCCTGTCTATGCCTCTTTTGTTAAGTGTTCTTATCACCAAAGGGTGCTGAATTTTGTTGGATGCTTTTTCTGCATCTATTGACAGGATTGCATGGTCTTTGTTTTTGTTTCTATTTATGTGGTGAATTGCATTTATAGATTTGAATATGTTGAACCATCCTTGCATCTTTGTGATGAAGCCCACTTGGTCGTGATGGACTACTTTTTTGATAAGCACTTCAATTCGGTGTGCTAAGATTTTCTTGAGAATTTTTGCATCTATATTCATAAGGGATATTGATCTGTAGTTTTCTTTTTTTCTTACATACTTTCCTGGTTTTGATATCAGGGTGATGTTGGCTTCATAAAACATCTTGGGAGGATTCCTTCCCTCTTGATGTTGTGGAATGATTTCTACAGGATAAGCACCAGTTCTTCTTTGTAGTTCTTATATAATTCGGGTGTGAAACCATCTGGTTTCTTTTTATGAAGTTGTTTTCTTGCTGCTTCAATTTCGGTACTTGATATTGGTCTGTTCAGAAATTCTATTTCTTCCTGATTAAGGATTGTCTTTTCTTGAAACTTTTTTCAATTTAGGATTGTCTGAAGGGGAAGATTAAATCACCTAAACCTTACTTTTATGGAGGAGTGTTTTTTGCCTCCTATTTATGTTGGTGAGCATTTCTATAATAGTAATTCAAACCAAATCAGCTGTTTTAGGGTGTGGCAGAAGCAAGGAAGACAAGATATTGCACAGTCTGCTTAGGTTTTATACATCAGTCCTGTCTTTGTTCTATTTCTTGTGGTTCTGTACAGTTGTTATTCCAGTTCCCTAGGGCTGGAATTTCACACTGCATTTTGCTTTAAATCTCTGACAAGTAATCAAATGTTTCTCTTCTTAATATTATTTTATGCACACATTTTCTTATAAAACGTCCTAAGTTGCTCATAGGTAGGCACGACTGAACTCAGTTACCTAACTCATGTTTTCGGAAGAATATTATTTCAATACCACTTCTATTATAACTTTAAATTGTGACTGAAAATTTGGCTTGTCTTTAAGTAAGGAGAAGGGAAGAGGGATAATTTATCATTTCCTAGAGCTGAAAGTGAGGGAAGGATATTGGAGAAAGTTCAGAAGTGGATGTTTATAGATCATGGCATTATAATAATTAGTCATGAAATTTTTATTTTCAGTTTGTGAGATACATCCAATCCATAACCATAATGGCCACATTCAACGTGAGCAGCTTCAATCCAGGCTCATTCATCCTACTGGGAATTCCAGGTCTGGAGCAGTTTCATGTCTGGATTGGGATTCCTCTCTTTATTATCTATGTTGTTGCCCTTGCAGGCAATAGTGTCCTTCTCTATCTCATTTTTATGGAGCACAGCCTCCATGAGCCAATGTTCTTTTTCCTCTCCATGCTGGCTGCCACAGATCTCATCCTGTCTAATACATGTTTACCCAAAACATTCAGCATCTTCTGGCTGGGTCCTCAGGAAATCACCTTTCCTGGATGCCTTACTCAGATGTTTTTTCTCCACTACAGCTTTGCCATGGATTCTGCCATTCTGCTGGCCATGGCATTTGATCGCTATGTTGCTATTTGCTTCCCCCTAAGATACACCATTATTCTTACCCACCAGATGATTTCTAAGATAGTGATGGGTATCATTAGCAGAAGCTTTTGTATCATCTTCCCATGTGTGTTCCTATTAAAACGACTACCTTTCTGCCAAACACACATTATACCCCACACATACTGTGAGCACATAGGCATTGCCCGGCTTGCCTGTGCAGACATCTCCATCAACATCTGGTATGGCTTTGCTGTGCCTGTAATGACTGTCATGTCAGACCTGATTCTCACTGGCATCTCCTACACTCTCATCCTTCATGCTATCTTTAACCTTCCATCCTGGAGTGCCCAGCAGAAAGCCCTCAGCACCTGTGGTTCCCATGTTTGTATCATTCTTATATTCTACACACCAGCCATATTCTCTGTCCTTGCCCACCGTTTTGGTCATAATATTCCTCACTCCTTCCACATATTGTTTGCCAACCTCTATGTAGCCATCCCTCCTGCATTCAATCCAATCATCTATGGGGTGAAGACCAAGAAGATTCAGGACAAATTCATCCTTCTCTTCTTCCCTAAAGAAAACCAGTGATATGAGGCTGAGAGCTTAGGAAAGAAAACAGGTAATTGTATTGATTTTGGAGTACTTTTTTATTTTTTTAAAGCTGGAATCCTAACAATGTTGACTTACATTTATGTGAAATCCTAGAAATCCACTATGTGTTGTAGGAAGCAGTGAGACAAGATGAGCAGTCAAGATAACATAAGCAAAATTTGAAGAAGACATGTATATATGAAAAGACAGATCAGAGGGAGATTTCTATCTCATTTTGAGATAAGATTTCCAAGACATATGGAATAGCATGTTGATCATATATAACATAAGTACATTATTCTCATAAGTAGGTAAAAGGAGATGAGTAAAGTCCTCATAGTTTGGAATACCTTTGTGAGACACTTTCCAGATGAAAGTCCATAAAGATAACATCAAATGATCACCTTCTTTTAAGAATCCTCCAGGAAAATTTACCTGTAATCCCAGGTACTTAGATGGAGGCTGAGGTGGGAGAATCCTTTGAGTCTAATAATTTTAGAACAGCCTGGGCAACATAGCAAGAACCCATCTCTCAAAAAAAAAAAAAAAAAAAAAACCCTCCAGGAGAACTGATCATCTAAGACAATGGTTCTCAAATTTTAGTGGGTATCATAACCACCTGGGGAACTCAGTAAAGATGCAAATTCCCAGGCTTTATTCTACTTCAGTGGACCTCTGTATTTTTAAATAGTTCTTTAGATGATTCTGATACCTAAGAAATCTTGGCTCCTTCCAGATCAGAAAAGTCCTCATCCTTTGAAAAGCCCATAGATTTGGTTCTTGCAGTATTTTTCTGGGTCTAATAGTAATACAGTTCTTCTTTATGCTCCAGATAATGACTTCTTACCTAATATTATTTGCATCTTAAGACATTTAGGTATAAATCTCTACTTCTTGTTATCTTCTCAGCCTGGGTCATTTTTTTCTTTTTTGAAGATTTTTGGCTTCTGGTACAATATCATTTTCTCCAACAAAAACCTTATCATGATTCTTGTTAATTTTAATGACCATACCGATTACCCTTTAACAACTTGATGATATGGCAAATCATATTTGCCAAAGATGGCCACAACAAGATATCTTCTATCTTCCATGCTTTTCAGCAGTGTGACATTTTTGCCATTTCTGTGTCCATAAAGTACAATCCCCCTTTTCTTGAATCAGAGTTGAACTTAAGGATACCTTGACAAGTATCATTCAGCGGAAGTCTTGTTTTGCGGCTTCTGAGGTTAGATCATAAAAATCTTTGCAATTTCTACCTGCGTCCCTTGAAATGCTTGATTTTAGTAGGCTGTCTTTGCAACTCAGCTACTATGCTGTGAGCATACCAAGCAATATGGGGGCGCCAGGTATAAATATTCCAGTGTGTGGTCCCAAGTGAGATCCCAGATAGCAGCCAACAACTGCCAGTAATGTCAATAAGCCATCTTGGACATTCAGTTCAACTGGGACTTCAGACATCTTTGGCAGTATCAGGAAAATAGAAAATATATCTAATGAACTGATGAATTTGTCAAAGGTGATTTTGAAGCAGAATATTGAAAGTGCCAACATTATTTTTATACTACATATGATAAGGCAGAGATAAAGAGATATGAGATAAAAATAAAATTTAGTGTTCAAACAAAATTTAGAGTAAATACAAAGGAACCATGGATGGATGTGTTCAATTTTTTTTAATATTAATAGCATTTATTGATGGTAATGTTCTGTGTGTTTTCAACATTCTCATTCAATAACTCATTGAATTAGTAAATCAAGGCATTTAAAAATTAGCTAATTGTTCAAAGGTCATCTAGTTAATTTTTAAACTAGGGTTCAAATTTTTTAAATATTTGTTTCCCACCCCTAGGCCCTTCCATATGGCAAAAGACTCTCAAAGTGAAAAATGGCCCCAAGATGTAGATTCATCTCTAGGATTAGGCTATAAGATGTTGTGCTAAGAATAGAGAAATATTTAAAAGTGCACAATATAACTCTTTTCAATTAGATGAAGAAGCTTCTAGAAATCTTTACAATATTTTTCCAGGGCACTGTAACTTGATGAAAATCAGAAAGATATTTGTGGGTGTGACAGATCCCCCAAGCAGAAAATAAGCAAAGAAACAATGGACTCAAACAGAGCTCTAGAACAAATGGGCCTAACACACATTTATAGAACACTTTACCCCCAAACTACTGAAGATACGTTTTTCTCATCAGCACATGGAATATTCGCTAAGATTGCTCACATCCCAGGCCATAAACATGTCTCAACAAATTAAAAAAGTTAGACATCATACATGTATCTTCTCACACCAAGGTGGAATAAAACTAGAAATCAATTCAAATAGATACACTTATCTCTATACAAAGTCATGGAAACTAAACAACCTATTGCTGATGACAGTTGGGTCAAGGAGAAGATAAAAATGGAAATCGAAAGCTTGTTTGAACTAAATGATAAAGAGGACACGAGTTGTTAAAATTTTTAGAATACAGCAAAAGCAGTCCTGATAGGAAAGCTCATAGCCTTAAATGCCTATATCAAAAAGACAGAAAGATCACAAAATAACACTCTAATGAATTGCTTTAAGGAACCATAAAAGGAAGAGCACACCAATCACACTCCCAGCAGAAGGGAAAGAAATAACCAAGATCAGAGCAGAACTAAATGAAATCACTTCCAAAAGAATTGTACAGAAGATTAATGAAACAAAAAGTTGGTTCTTTGAAAAGAAAAACAAAATTGACAGGTTCTTGCTGGATTAACCAGAAACAGAAAATAAAGGATTCTAAGCAGCTCAAGCAGAAATGAAAAAGGAGAAATACAACTGATATCTCAGAAATGCAAAACATCATCTCTGAATAGTATAAAAATCTCTGTGCTCCTGAACTTGAAAATGTGGAGGAAATGGGCAAATTCCTGGTAACACAAACCTCCCTAGGCTCGCTCAAGAAGAAATAAAACTCATAAACAGACCAGTATCAAGCACCAAAATTGGAGCAGCAATAAAAATTCTTCCACCAAAGAAATGTCCTAGATAAAATGGTTTCACACCTAAATTTAACCAAAACTACAAAGAAGAACTGGTACTTATACTGCAGAAATTATTCTATAACATTGAATAGGAAGGAATCCTCCCCAACGCATTCTATGAATCCAATGATACCTTGATACCAAAGCCAGGAAAAGACACAACAACAACAAAAAGCACAGACCAATATGCCTGGTGAATATAGATGCAAAAATTCTCAGTAAAATCCTAGCAAACAAAATTCAGTTGCACATCAAAAAAAATAATTCACTACAACCAAGTGACTTCATCTCAGAGATGCAAACATAGTTCAATATACGCAAATCTGTAAAGGTAATTCACCACATAGATAAAAGGAAAGACAAAGACCATATGAAACTCTCAATACATACATAAAAATCATTTCACAAAACTCAGCTCCCTTCTATGATAAGAACGCTTAACAAAATAGGCATAGATAGGACATATCTCAAAATTTTAAGTGCCCTATATGACAAAACTACAGCCAACATCACACTGAACATGGAAAAATTAAAAGCACTCATGCTTAGAACTGGAACCAGACAAGGTTGCCCACAATCACCACTTTTATTGAACATCATCCTGGAAGTCTTAGCTAGAGCAACCAGGCAAGAGAAGGCCTCCAGGAGAACTGATCATCTAAGACAATGGTTCTCAAATTTTAGTGGGTATCATAACCACCTGGGGAACTCAGTAAAGATGCAAATTCCCAGGCTTTATTCTACTTCAGTGGACCTCTGTATTTTTAAATAGTTCTTTAGATGATTCTGATACCTAAGAAATCTTGGCTCCTTCCAGATCAGAAAAGTCCTCATCCTTTGAAAAGCCCATAGATTTGGTTCTTGCAGTATTTTTCTGGGTCTAATAGTAATACAGTTCTTCTTTATGCTCCAGATAATGACTTCTTACCTAATATTATTTGCATCTTAAGACATTTAGGTATAAATCTCTACTTCTTGTTATCTTCTCAGCCTGGGTCATTTTTTTCTTTTTTGAAGATTTTTGGCTTCTGGTACAATATCATTTTCTCCAACAAAAACCTTATCATGATTCTTGTTAATTTTAATGACCATACCGATTACCCTTTAACAACTTGATGATATGGCAAATCATATTTGCCAAAGATGGCCACAACAAGATATCTTCTATCTTCCATGCTTTTCAGCAGTGTGACATTTTTGCCATTTCTGTGTCCATAAAGTACAATCCCCCTTTTCTTGAATCAGAGTTGAACTTAAGGATACCTTGACAAGTATCATTCAGCGGAAGTCTTGTTTTGCGGCTTCTGAGGTTAGATCATAAAAATCTTTGCAATTTCTACCTGCGTCCCTTGAAATGCTTGATTTTAGTAGGCTGTCTTTGCAACTCAGCTACTATGCTGTGAGCATACCAAGCAATATGGGGGCGCCAGGTATAAATATTCCAGTGTGTGGTCCCAAGTGAGATCCCAGATAGCAGCCAACAACTGCCAGTAATGTCAATAAGCCATCTTGGACATTCAGTTCAACTGGGACTTCAGACATCTTTGGCAGTATCAGGAAAATAGAAAATATATCTAATGAACTGATGAATTTGTCAAAGGTGATTTTGAAGCAGAATATTGAAAGTGCCAACATTATTTTTATACTACATATGATAAGGCAGAGATAAAGAGATATGAGATAAAAATAAAATTTAGTGTTCAAACAAAATTTAGAGTAAATACAAAGGAACCATGGATGGATGTGTTCAATTTTTTTTAATATTAATAGCATTTATTGATGGTAATGTTCTGTGTGTTTTCAACATTCTCATTCAATAACTCATTGAATTAGTAAATCAAGGCATTTAAAAATTAGCTTAGAACTGGAACCAGACAAGGTTGCCCACAATCACCACTTTTATTGAACATCATCCTGGAAGTCTTAGCTAGAGCAACCAGGCAAGAGAAGGAAATGAAAGGTATCCAAATGGGTAAAG